AAAAATATTTCTACTGACTTTGTCATTTTTCTCTCATACAAAAGTAAACGTAGTATGTAAATATGTTCTAACCAAGCACTGAGCCATTAACCTACGACCTCAGGTCGGAAAGAAAAGTATCAAATACTGTTGCAAGGATTATTAAAATGCTGAGGATTTATATACACAACTGCACTGGCCACTTCATTAGGTATGAAAACAATACAATCTAATCACCAAATCACATGGCAACAACTCAGTGTGTTTGCATGCATGTAGACAAGGTCAAAACAGCCTATTGATATTCAAACCAAGGGTAAGAATGGGGAAGAAAAGTCACTTCAAGGACTCTGAGTATTTGCATGATTGTTCAGATATACTGGCATTTCCCCCATAACCACCCTGAGGATGTGTGAAAATATTCTCTTGTTGGTGTGGATGTTTGTAGCAGGAGATGGTGATCACAAATCTTAAATGATCTCAAGCTGGTTCTTTGAACATTTAGTATTCAAATGGCATCTCATGTCTTGTCTGAAGAAAGTTTCCAGCTCCTTGTTTGTATGTATCAATGTATAAAATCAAATAAGAGGGAGAAAAGTTCTCATCACAGTGTTTTTTGTATTTCATATAAAAAGACAGTTGATTAGTAGAATATTCATTATACACAAATGACTTCAGCAGTGTGAAATACCTGGATAACAAGATGAAGTTACTCCATAATATGGCCTGTGTCCTGAAAAGTGCAGCTTACTTACACTGTAAGATTTGGAAATATTGTTTGGTTTTCCTTAAATTACCATGAAATTACTACTTAACATTATTTAGATTAGATTAGATTAGATGAAACTTTATTAATCCCTCGGGTGGGTTCCTCCGGGAAATTCAGTTTCCAGTAGCATAGCACCGAAAGAAGTTGCATGTTACAGATACATTAAGGGGAATGAGAGTAAGGATATAAGCATAAATACACCATATATACACATATATAGATACAGAATATACAATATGGATAAATAATCCTATTTACACTATAGAATGACTTACACTGCAATTTGTGTCTCCTTCTCTGTAAAATGCCTGAATATTATAGGCTAATGAACTCCCTCCTTTCCTTAGTGGACGACCTTCTACTCCCTGAGCTACATCCATCCTGCTGTTGTTCATTAACACAGAAGCAGCTGAAGCCGATTTAACGACCCTTGCTGCTGCTTAACGGACCAGATCAATATCCCAGAAGTTTAACTGACTTTTTCTTCTTTTTAAGTGTCAGCCAATGGAAGTTTCTATTCATGTCTTAAATGTTTATTGCTGTCTAATAAACAACTAATAAATAAATTTACCGTGATCAGCCACTATGTGGAAACAGTAGGCGGTACACATTTATTCTGTAGGATCACACAAGGAACCTGATTTCATGCCAAAGTGGCTTTTATGATCTTTTGTTCACCTGGACGAGTCGTGCTGTGCTGTCAGTGTCCCCTCAGCAGCACTATAGTGCAACACAAATGTTTGTGAGACAGTCTTCCTCTCATGAGGAGGCTCAGCTTAGAAAACGCTTTAGTTACGCCTCTGAGAGATATTTGCTTTATCAGCTTAAAGACTGATAAGTCGACACCTACTATTAAATGCATGTGGACGATCCAACCTACACGTCGTTTTTAAGTTGTCTCTGATTGGACAGAACAGGGATCTGTTTGTGTTCATCAGATCGGCTCATCTACACTGTGACTAAAATATTAGGTAATGAATTGCCCAACATAATAATTTAAATAAGGGTGAATAGTGTTGTCAGTTTCTTAGCAACACACACACGCGCGCACCTGCGTCATTTCCTATATAAAGGGTCAGCGCGTTGAGTTCAGCGCTCCACTCTGCGCGCTGAGTTCGCTGGGAGGGTCGAGCTGCAGGGAAATGAATCAAATGTAATGAGGTGCAGTTAGGTTGTGTATATTGATAAGGAGAGCTTTCCGTGGACGGCGGTGGAGCTGGCGTTGTGCATGGAATAAAACACGCGGGGACATATTGCTTTGTTCAGAGCCGGATGAATACGGGCATCGACTGTGGAAATGTTTGGTTTCGCGGTGACACGTCGTGTGCGGGGCACTCGCTGAAACTGTCTGATGCGCGTTTCAAGTTTTACTTTTAAGGAGGAGTGCCGACCTGAGGTGGATTTGATCACATTCACGGTCAAACCTCGCATCTGTATGACGCTCTGTTATGTTGTAGGATGAGCGCTGACCTCGAGAGCGTTTCGCTCAACACGTCGTTGAACTCGATCGTCTTGGGCGGCCGTGCGCTCTCGACAAACGTCCGAAGGCTGCACAAAGCTCTCAATATTCTGCTCAATGACCGGGAGAGAGAGCAGTTCATCCACTGCCTCAATGTTTACCACGCCAAGCGCAACGTCTTCGACTTGGTTCAAACTCTTAAAGTGATTCTCAACACGCCAGACAAACGGCACCTCTTGCCCATGTTGCGCCTCGTCATCCCGAGGTCCGACCAGCTGCTGTTCGACCAGTACACGTCCGAGGGGCTCTACCTGAAGTCGGACCTCATCCCCAGCAACGGCATCGCAGAGGACTTTGTGGGTGAGGTAGATTCAGCTGCCAGTTCCATCCCTGAGCAGGTCCTGTCGTCGGACGGTTTAAGCGCAGCTGCTGAACTCTCTGCGTGCGTGGTCCCGCCGTTCTGCGTGGGCCCTTTCGGAGATACGCGCAAAGTGACCCTCACGCGCTCCAGGAGCCACGAGGGTCTGGGCTTCAGCGTTCGAGGTGGTTCAGAGCACGGCGTGGGCATCTATGTGTCGCTGGTGGAGCCAGGCTCATCGGCTGAGAGAGAAGGACTGAGAGTCGGGGACCAGATAGTGGCCGCTAATGACATCCTGTTTGACAATGTCACTCACATAGAGGCGGTGAAGGTAGGACTTCACGCAAATGCTGGCGTTTATGAGTGTTGTGGGGTGTGCACTGCAGGTTTAGTGCAGATGCTGTAGGCAGAGAAAGCACACATGACTAAGGAGGCACTGGGCCATGCACGGCTGTCCTAAAAACACACTCGTTGTTTCACTGCTGCTTTCTGTGCGAGCCCTCGGGTCCAATGCTAAACTACCTCTAGTTTAACTTCTTATTCTTATTTATTTATTTAATCTTCTACACCACTTGACATCTGGCTGCAGGCAGGGAACCAACATGAACTAAAATGTAAAGTAGACAAGCTGAAGTCCTTCAGCCTTTGTCAAAATCAGAAAATAGCAAGTAGTGCTTTACAGCAGGAATCCCTGATGATGATTATTCTGAGGGAACAACGTGGGAATACTACACTGCATGTGGAGATAATGTGCTTCACCACACAATTATCTAAAATGAGATACAGTACAAACAACACTGTGTGATCCTTCACTAGAGCCTGATCAGGCAGGCTGACTAATTTAACCCCCAAAAGATATTAGCTATAGATTTAGATTTCAATTTGCATAGATTTTCTTTATTAAACTAGTCTGCAGTTTAGTGAAGCTTTTTAGTTTAGATTTTTTTTTAAATTCAAAACATCTAAAAATATTTGTCACATCTAGTTTAGTTCA